TTGTTATACTTTTTCATCACTGCAATTTTTCCTTCCCCTCTTCCTAATAATCCTCTTGAGAAGATGGAGACAGGATAGCTGGGAGCTGAGACCCATGCTCTTCTGCTGCTGACTCACTGCTTCAGGGCACGCAAAGCTTTCTGGAGCCGATGTCGCTGACTTGAGTGAGCAGAAGTGAGGTATAACTGACAGTCGGGCTGAAATGGAATTAGGTGAGGATTTTTCCTACGGCAGCTGCTGGGTCAGGATGTCTTGGTGTGTTCTGGCAACATCAAACTTTGCTTTTTAATAAATATTTGGCTCCAGAAAGCTCTTTCAGTTCTTAGTGACACAGTTTCTGCCAGTCCCTGCAGAGGTCTTTATGCCTAAGCAATGCCTCATAAATGCAAAGTTGTTTTTTTTTTTTTTTTTTTAAGATCTTACTACCTAAAAATATTTTTCATTTATGCCGAGTTTCAGCATCTGTGCAGGGACAGGAACGACTCTCACACATTGATGCAATGCACAGTCAGGTCACTTTATTGCTCTGCTTGTGTGGTTATAGACATTTTCCATATCTGTACACGCGATCACACTTACTCGGATAGGCTACAGACATAAATCACGCGCTGTTCACGCACACCATATTCCCTTATGATTGGTAACTATGCACTAGTGCTAATAGCAACAGACCACCTCCACGTCCTTGAACACATCTTGTTTTTGCTAACCCACATCATGTGCACCATCAGAACTTTCTCAGTTGTTATTCTTAGCTGCCCTTTCCAGCGGCCTGTTCAGCTGTGCTAACTGTTTTGCTTAAGCGGCCTAGTCATGCTAACTCTCAAGCTACATCGACCCCAACGCATTTAAATTTACAATTGACATTCTTCACTAATGTGCAAGCTTACTATCTCCTAGTAAAATGGTTTAAATAAAAAGTGCCTGTGAACCCTTCTCTGATTAAAAATTAAACACTCATCAGCTTATTCAGTTACTGTTCTCCCCCTTGCGTGCTTGTGCCACTGAGGCCAGCCTCAGCATCAAAAAGCTGCTTTAAGTGCATTTCGTCTTAAAAGCTGAGGCTGTTCTGGATTGCCAAAAAGGAGTACAAGAAGTTGCGTGCTGGGGGGTACCCAAGTGCAAAGAAGTCCCTTTTGCCTGGGCTGGGCTACTTAGTGCTTTCAGTCTTGAAACCATCAGCTAATTGGGGTGCTGGAAAAACAGGAGAAAGTAGTTATGTTCTTTTTCTTTCAGTATCTGAAAAAGGATGCAAGAGAGATGGGTTCTGCCAGTTCTTATGTGCATGGAAAAATCCAGGGCTGGACTACTGATGCTCTGGATGTGGCAGGGGGGAGAAGTAGAGAACCTGTCTGAATTTCCTTGCAAAACAGGTTAGAGGGCAGAGGGTTGTTGTTTGGGGAAATAAAATATCTGCATCAAGCCAGAATGCACATAGCTGTTGGAATAATTTTGCATTTTTTCTTTGAAAGCAATCTGAATGTCCTCAGTTTGAATGATGCCCATCATGTCTCGAATCGGAAGCGGTACTTTCCTAATGGGTTTGTGGGTTTCCTGGATGTTACAGATGCTAACACGTTTAATGCTAAATTACAAATACACAAGGCTTTGTGATGTTCAACCTTGCAAACTGCATGTACCCACAGAGCAGGGCTGTGAGAGCTGCTGCAGGAGCTGGGGCAGAATCACGGCTCGAACGACGGAGCTGGGGTACAAAAGCGTGTTGCTGAAGTGGGCAGCGAGAGCCAGGTAGCAGGATGGGCTGTCAGATCTGTTTTGGCGGAGATTTGGGGTGAGGTGGATTTTTTGTTGGGTATTTTAGTTTTTTGAATGTTTGGGCTCTGAGGCCTGGGTTTTGGTGAAGCAGCTCATATTTAATGGTGGAGCAGACAGTCAACAAAACTCTTGGTTTTTAGTCTTCAAGTCTGTTGGTTTACTCTTGCACTTAAAAAATTGTACCCATGTATTGTGGCATAAATAAAAGCAAATAAGTCATTCTTTTCTGGAAAAAAGCTATTTTTTTTGTCCAAGGGTATTAATTCAACCTCTGAAAGAAACCGTAGAGCTGTTCTGAGCAAGGACTTGAGACTGGCTTATCTCTTAGAAACAAAAATATGATCTACAAATTCCTTGTATCAGTAGTGCTAGAACATCATGATAACTTTTATGTTTGAACCTTGTTTTCAGTATTTTGGAGTTCAGTTATTTTTCTGTGAGCTACTTTGTATCCTGTTTAAAAACAGAATAGAAAATAATTTATTGCATTAAATCATACAAGAATTGAGGTCATTTCTTATTGTAAGCTGTAATCACATTAGTTCTTGGGAGTTTTATACTTCATCTCTGTTTTATTCCTTATCCTACTGCAGATCATGGTGTTAAGCTTTTCATTGCTGCAGTTAGAGCAAGATGCTTATTTTTAATATCTATAGAAGTGGGCACCAGCTTTCTTGGGTGATCTTGACTTAAATGCCTGGAGCTTTTAACAAAACATACCAAATATTGTGGTGCTTTTGATTAAAAAAAACCAAAAACACCACCAAAAAACAAACAAAAACAACAAAAAACGACCCCAAGCAAAACTATGAGAGATTGTAATATTGCAGATGGAAAGCAATTCCCTTTTTTTTTTTTTTTTTTTTTTTGAGATAAGGATACTCTTTATTTTAGGGTTATTATGGTAACGGTGTGCTTTCATCTTTTTTGGACAATTGCTACCAAGTGAGCACTGTCTGGGTGAATGTCCCAGCACCATCAGGGATGGAGATTACTTGGGCAAAGTGGATAATTTAGTGTTTTTTAGGGCTCAGACAGAGCAAACATTTATGCAATACTGAAGCCAACAGTCTGAAATGTTGTAAAAAATCTCTTCAGGCTCAAAAGTAGGCACTGTGGGGCTTGATTTTCATTTTGACTGATTAAATGATACTGGCAACACTTCCCTTATCCATTACATCTTATGTATATAAAGCTGTAATTAGAATGGGGAAACCAAGTAAGGGCAATATTAGCTTCTTGGTGAAAATAACACTTGCAGTTTTTTCGCTGGATATGTAGTAAATTCATCCCTGGGGATGAAACAGGAAGATCAGGTTTGTGTGGGATGGAAATAATTTAAAATTTGAAATAAAAGCTGTTTTTCATAAAATCTTTTCTTGTTCAGAGTTGGAGAAGACTGGAGAACAAGCTCAGTTGACTGGCTGTATTCCATTAAAACTTTAATTTTCAGCCTATTTATTTTTAAAGGAATAAACAAAATGGTAATGCCAACTGCAAACGTGATTTTTGATACGTGCATAGATGAATATAAAATGGGTGCTATTCAGATGCGCTAGCTGTGAGCAGCAGAGTTTGTGGTATTTGCCTGTAAACCAGGGTGGCAAGGGATAGACACCCTGTTTCTTTGTTCATCAAGAGCAGTATTGCCACCTCTGTCCCAGCCTGCCGTCACCTGCTGGTGCTCCATCCCATCTGCTTTGTCCCAGGACCATGCAAAAGCCTTAGATCTGACACGAAAAATCACCGATAAGGGATTTGCTGATGATTTTTCATTATCTATGCTTTCCTTCCCCTCGCCACGTATTTCTTGACTCTGCTGTGAACTCCTCAGATGCATCTCCACCACCTCTTGCCTTAAAAGATATTGAACTCTGGCACTCAAAATTGTCTGCTGAGTATCTTCTGTATGTCTTCCCTCCCTAGGTTCACATCACCCATTGACGTTATGAAATCCTGAGCTGTGTGTTGCTTTCATCAGTGGAAAAAGGCAGTAATATATTCAGCTCTTTGCAGCTGAAATGGGTAACATACCATACATGCAAGATGCGTTTGTGCAAAATGGTCTTAAGGTTCTCATTGTTGGAATTTAATGGTTTAGCAGAACAGTGTGGTGACATCTTGCGTTGCAAAAGCAAATAGAAACCAGTAGATGTGACTTATTTTTTTTTTATTCTGTGGTTATTCGTTGGCTGGGAATATTTGAATAGAACAGCAAGAATGGGGAACAAAAGGAAAAAATTAAGCCACTGCTACCCTGCTTTCCACTTCCAGTGTTTTTGCTGGCCTTGGGAATTCTTTTACCATTCTGTTCTCAATTTAATTTTTTTCAAGGCTGACCCCGTGATCAGAAAATTGAATCTGCATCAGTTAGAAATAAAACCTTTATTTCACTAGACAATGCAGCACCTTTTCAAAGGCAACATTTACTCTTCACCTTCAATCTTGTGAGCTAGCAAAAATTGCTTTGTGTCCTGTAGTTTGTTGTGTGTGATGCGGTGACATTTTTGCGGTTCAAATTTCTCTGTTGTAATAATGTTTAGATTTGTAGCTCTGGTTTCCCATTTGTCTCTGTACCATTGTGTGCGTAATGGGGTATGGATTGGATTTTATGAGTTTTGACACTTTGAAACTTGCCTTATACCTAAAGGTGAATGCAAATGTTTTGCTCCAGACTAGCTAAAAAAGTGGTTTAAGAACAGTAGGATTTTCTTAGGGAAATTTAAAATGACTGGTTTGGCTTTTGTTTGGTAGGTTTGTTTGCTGTTTGGTTTCATTTGCCTTTTAAAATCCAGCTCTGTCTTTCCCTCTGGCCAAACGGCTCTTAGTTGCTGTAGTTGCTTGTAAGATACACCTGCATCTTCCATGCCTTGGCACTTGAGCAGGAGAGTGCAATTATTTCCTCTTAATGAAGTGCCCTGGGCAAAGGCTGAACAGAAATTTGAAAAACGCTCTAAGAGCAGCTGAGTAAGTAAGTAGTTGGGATGTGACAGCAAAGTGTGTCAGCCAGGTGTATGCCAATACATAATACTCACAATTTGCTGTTTATTAGACAGGTTACACACCTATTTCAGAATAGCTAATAAACACCTGTGACAGTTATTTTCTGTAACTTTTCCTGTTTTAGAAAAAATGCAATCAAATCTCTTGTTGAGGGTCAGCACGAGAGTCCACAACTGGAAATTGTTTGTTACTTTACTAATGTGCTGTTCTTATTTGACAGGATGTTTCGTCTGCGATTCCTTCCTGTTGCAGCAGGGCTGTCTGCTGTTTCACGGCGTTACCATGGGACAGCACATCATCCCAGGACCAGGCGTAGGCTCGTGGTGGCAGCTTTCATAGGGACGACTGCAGCGACAGCAAGTGCCAGATTCCTTTGGCAGAGGTAATATATATTTTCTGTTTGGTGGGGTTTTTTTTGTTTTGTTTTGTTTTTTATTTTTTGCCTGAGACCTCAAGCTGCATTAGTCCTGGAGTAAGTACCTGCAGATGGGTTTAATATCTGTGGGAGACTTTGTAAAGCGTTATTGCTTGTCCTGCTTCTGCTGCATGGAAGGAATGTCTGTTGGTGACTCCCTGTGGAGCTGCTTTGCTGCTGTGAGTAGTCTGAGATGCTAAAAAGCTCAGGGCTGAAGAGTTTTCCTTTGTAGCCATCCTCACAGGGGCTGTTTGCCCTTGGCGGGGTTTGCTGCCCAGCTTCCCTCTGCATGTTGGTGCTACATGGGTCTGTGGTGTTGTGTGAAGAGAAATTGGTTGACTCAACCAAGCTGGGTGACAGCATCATGCTTTCAGCTTCTGGGAGGGCTGCTAGGGGCAGCACGCTTGGCCAGGGATGCTACGCTGGCTTTCTTTGTGTTCTGCTGACTGCCTCATATATAAAACGTAGTGGGGAGCAGAAGGGAATGGTCCATCTTTTGAGGATAAGGTAGCTGCATGCAGGACTTAACGTGGTTTTTAAGGGCCACAATCTGAGCACACCTACTCATGGGCCATGAGGCTCAAAGCTTGTTTCCATAACTGTGGGGAGAAAGGGGATATTTGTGCTTGCCTGAGGTGACCCTCACTGAACCCTGTGGCTGTGCCATATTTGAAATAAATCAAGGACTACCTTATCTTCCTTCAAAACATGGGAGCAGTGTGACACCAGCAGTGTCACTCAAGCTTGTGGCTGCAATTAGTCTGAAAATAAAGTCTTTGCTGAAAACCTGTCATATTTTCATTCCAGTATTTAGCAGATTTATTGCTGGCTCTCTGCTCGCCTGTGTTGTGGCTAGAAGGCTCTAGATTTCATGCTACACGAGGAAGTTGATGTTAATTGTTCTGGCTGTTCATAGAGCTGTCAAACCTTGATATCTGCTAAAAGGAGTTGCTCAGACTGAGGAAGAACACCGTGATCCAGCACAATGTCTGGTGCTGCATTTTGCTAATAATCTGTACTTACGTAGTGCCTCTTTATCCACAGGACCTGAACACCTCTGCGGGGATGGCCAGGATAACACCCCTTTTCAGGCAGGGAAGTGAGCAGGGTTTTATGCACTTAAAACATCCTCAGTGTGATCATAAAGTAGGTAGGACATAATGTCCTGCATAAAGCTGTCCCAAAGATACTGAGTTAATATCTCCCTCCTGCAGCAGGTTCACCCCTGCTTTTAAAAACAGCCAAGTTGTCCGTGGTTAGCTTTGCCTTTTATCAGGCGGAAGGTGCTTCCTGCAGCAAAGAACCGCTAATAGTATGTGGAGTGCTAGGTCGGGGGTGGTTTCAGGGAGTGATTTTTGGCTCCTGGAGTACTTGGCTGTTCCCTGGAGGCCCCTGGACACTGTGGCCAGGCTTGACCTTGCTCAGCTGAGAGCGCTGATAGAAATCAGATAAAGGAGAGGGACAGCCTTTTGCAGTAGTGTGGTCTGTGATCTCCCCAGTCCTCATCAGTCTGGAGAGATTGGCTTGCTGTGATGTTTGGGTTTTTTATTTCCTTGCTCTTTCTCCTTTGTCTATTTAGTGCTTTACAAATTCATAAAAGAATTGTACAGATTTAAGTATTCCTTTCTCATATGAGCCAAGAAATAAATCCATGATGTCTGTAACTGTAAAATAAAAGTACATCCAGGCTAGCGGTGTTACTTTAATTACTTGGCATATAGCTGTTGAATACGAGGAGGAATAAAACTGGTGTGTTTGGTGTAGAAAATACTGCGTACTGACACCTGTAGGAGTTTTAAGCAGACTCTCAAATAGGCATTTTAACATTGTGTTTAAATAAATGAGGGATGAGGAACTGCAAATTTCCTTTGTCTTTCACAATATGTAAATTGGGTGATTAGTAGGGTCTAAGAATAAGTTTAGGTGAATACAAAACGTTGATAATTGCATCCTGTGTTATTCAAGTAGTTACATCCTGAGTTATTACAGTAAGTGTAATGAATTAGTTATAAAAGGTAAGTATGTAATACAGGTAGCCAGGGCACAGGGATTGAATAAGCTGTGTCACTCAAAATATAATTTATAGACTACAGGGAGAAATGCCTGTGTGCATATGAGTGTTTACACTTAGTAGTAAGTGATTTTGATTTATTAAATGTTGCAGTGGTATTAAGGGGGAAGCAGATTAGTGAGGTCCTTTGCATAACCAGTTCTGTTGGTGCAGTTAACCTGTCGTGGGGATGACCTGTGATACTTGTTTACACTCGGTTAGTGAAGCAACCATGCTTTTGTTGTGATACGGAACTCTCCTGTGCTGTGCAGTTAGTCTCTGAGGGGTCCAGCAGGTCCTGAGTGTGGCACTCAGCATCGCAAAGACTTACGGTCCCTTTGATGGCAGATGACTAGTGATGAATGTGTGCCTGCTCATGTTCTGCTCAGCCTGGGGTGGTCTGTTAATGAAGCTGAGGCACTTCACTGCGCTTTGGGTAGGGAATGCAGTAAGGAATGCTCTCCTGCAGTCTATCAGTGAAGTTTTCTTTAAAGATTAGGGATGTCGCCCACTTTTTTTTTTCCTCATAATTATTTTTCTTAACAGTTAAGGCAGTAAAGATGTAATAGGCTGAATCAAGAAGCAGTTGAAAATCTTATGCTTCTTGGGCTAGGTAAATAGATGATGCAGTGTTAGAGGAAGGGCAGTTATAAAAAGAAAAGAATATATGACTTGTATTTCTTCTTGTCATCTGCATAAAGCCTTATGTGAATGTCCCAGCTCTTCTCTACTGCTGTGTGGGAAGCAGCACTGCATCTCTCGTCAGTACTTCAAAAAATCTCGAACTTTCTGTTTCAAAACAGATTTCTCATACTTCTGGTGATGGTGAACTTTGCTAAAAGCGATTAATATGGTGGTGCCTGTATGTGAACTTACCCTGTCCAACACTTAGCACGAAGAAAGACAGGACTTCTCAGGTGGTTTCTGACTGTCATGTGCAGCCTGAAACCAGTGTTTTTTGTATCGATTCTGTAGGGTATGCTTTGAGCACCATCAGAAGCCAGTGCTGGGGTAAGGAATCCCCTACAGAGGTAGAGGATAAGTCGAGGATTGGAAAGATGTATGTAAAAAACCCCAGCGGTTGTATGACACAAGACAGGAAAGACTTATTTTGTGTCTTCCTAAGATGGGAGGTGGGTTGGTGGGATCTGTACGTTTGATCTGCATCTGTGTGTAGCCTTCTGGATAGCTGTCTGTGGCAGGCAAGTGTTGGTCTCGTTGCCTTTACTGTCCTACAGGAGCTCCTGCTGCCTGCTTTTGGTGGAATATCTCTTATCTAAATAATTATACGACCGGAGTAGCTAATACTGCTCTGTTCTGCTATGATGAAGAATACTTCAGCAATCCAAATAACTGAGCTTAGAAGACTAATGAATATTACCCTTTCCAAGCAATAACTTAAACTCTGAGGATTTCCAGCTGGCAACAGAAGCAATTAAGTATCTGGGCATTGGTATAATGAACTGAATTAATTGAAATAAATCTTTGCACAGTCATTGGCTAATCTAAATGAGGCATTAATATATGAGAAGTACTGAACCTCACACTTTGCAGCAAGCTTAATGTTAAAAAATATTCTGTTACTGATACTTGTGCAAAACTTGTGTTCTGTGTTTGTATTTTCAAATACTCCTTTGGAGTGCAATTAAGTGGCCACAGACACATTATTTATGTCATAAACCTTCCTGGCTGGGTCTGTGGGCAGCGAGTGTCTGAAAGCATGTAAATTGGCATTTCAGTGCTGAAGATGGTCACTTGGTCAACCTAGTATTGAATGAAATAAGGGAGCAGACGTACCTGTGGGGAGCACAGAAGGACCTCTGTAAGCAGAGTCTTACCAGGGCTGCTCTTGATTGACTGGAAGTATTTAGTTATGCTTAACTTCTTATCTTTCCACAAATATATTAGCGGTAAGAATAAGGGCAAGACATCTGTGTTGCTCTGGAAGTTGCTTAACAAGAAGATCCTTTGCTACCAGCGTGTTTGTGTCTGACGCAGTACCCAGTCTTATTTTGCTGCATCCCCTTGGCCTTATTCTGTGCTCTCTGCCCTTTGCCCCATCCTGTGCGTAAGTTGAAGCAGTTAAGCTTGGCATACCTGTCTCCCAGCACTGGTGGCATATTCTCAGTCTGTTACAAGGTCTTCTTTTCCAGGCTTCGCTCCTCATCAGCAAGCTGAGCTGTTCAGGTGCTGGCTGCCACTTTGCAGTTTTCATTCTGTCTTTACCATTTCTTCCTCTCTTCCTCCACTCTTCTCCTTCGGCCATGCTGTGTCAAGAGCCCAGTTGCTTTACTGGAAGATCCGCTGTAGGCAAGACCATTCATCTTCCTTGCTGTGCTGACCTTCACTGCTTTTTGTGTTTGGCTTTTCTCCATCGGTGCTTCTGGAATTAATTTTGAAGTGTAGATCAGCCCTTGGTTAACTGTTTAAGAACATGTTGCTTTTTTGCATCAGTATCTTAGGGACTTTAAAGTAATTTTCTTAGAATACTATTTTTTAGTGGCAGAATTGCTGGAAATATCTTATGCCAGCTGAAACTGAGATTTTAAAAGTCTTTGTTCTAGTAAAACAAAGAAAACCACATGAATTATAGTCAAGAGGGGAGAAACCCAATTTATAGCTATAGCTGTGTCATGTACTACTTAACCTGATGTAGGAGGGAAAAGACAAAAAAATGTAGGTATTATCCATGCTAGGTTATTTTTATTTTGAGACTCTGCTCCATTTTTTTAATTCTTTGTGAGAGGTGACAGATTTAAGGGACTATCCTTGGGATTGCTGTGCTGAGGGTTTCCTCCTAAGGCTGGAAGACATGTTGATCTATAAGTGATGTCTTGAAAGAGCACTGTGTCCTTTCAGGTGGCTTTTTGGCTTCAGATTATTTTTACACATGAACCATCAGGGGAAGGAAAGAATC